GAAGAAAAAGAAAAATCAAACAGCGTTGGATTCTGCATTGTGGACATTTGCAGCGCGTTTCTCAAATAGAAACACGTAACAACCATGACAGTTGTTCACACTTTTCCTGTGCATACCTGTAAGTTCTTTTTCAGTGTCCTTCTTTGTGCTGCAGCAGCATGATGAAAGTATCGAGCTGCTTGTCGTTCTTCGTGTGATATTTTAATTTCTTGCTATCGCATTCATTGTTCGCCGTAGCGGCGAAACTGAATTTTTTTTAGCCGCACGACTTCAATCGCAAAGTGTGTGAGCTGTCAGAGGATGTCCGTTATGGCAACGCGATCAGGCGTGTCTGGCTCCAATAGAGAGGCATTTAGGTTGAGCGACGGATGTAGATCGCGATAGCCGTGGTGTGAACATCAGCCTCCCCGAGTCGCCTCTTCTTTCGCTCACGCAATGCTATTGCGCACGGAAGCTCTGTCATTCGCCATCGCCATTGAGCTGTTACACGTTTCCTCTAATTGGGCTAACACTTCTTGAACATGGTCATAAAATGCGGCTGTTTCGTAGTCGATGCTCCTGCGTACATGTGAGCCAAACATTGCAGCGCAGCACGTGGCGTAGCGGGGAATCACTCGCTCTTCTCTCGATAGATGACGCCGTAAGCTCAGTTTTGACTGCGTCATAGGTACGAGAACGCAGCCATTGGCTGATTTAAGCATCGTAAGCTACGTCGCCGCGGAGTGCAGCGAAGTGGCTGCGCCGTGCTCTGTCGTGCTACAATTAATCCAGCGCACTCGTGATCACACTGAATGTGAACCGCGCGTTCAGAGAAAAATAAAATAAAAAAACAACAACAAAGAGTTTAAGGTTATGATGCGCGGTGAGCAATGGACGTAAGTTCTTGCTTGCTTTTCATTTTTGCCTGTGTAGCCTTCACTGTGCTCGCCGGGATGATAGGAGAGAAAATGCGCTCGACAAATCTTAGTAACTCCGCGTGTATCGAGATGGATTACCAACATTTTTATGAGCGAAGCTCCTTGGGCCCGCACCTCGCCGTCGAAGCTCCCTTGCACTGGGCCGACGCGCCGAGCAAAACAACAGGTGCGCGACCCCGGTGCAGCAAGGGGGCAGGCGCAGCACACACTCACTCGCCCAGTCGTTCCCGCCGCCAAACGCAGCACATGCTCTTCCTTTCCTCTAACCACTACCCACCACCACCACCACCCGTTACCCGCCTTCATGAAAGCCTGCAGCGGGATAAGGCGCACGGTCGTTTGCGTCCCATTTCGAAGGAGCTGCGCTCATCGGTTATATTCGTACACGAACAACTGCCCGTTTCTTTTTTTTTGCTTTTTGCTGCAGTCATTTCCGAGACAATAATTCCGATTGTGAGGTGATTCGACGATTACTCGCAAAAGTGCTGCAGGGCCATCTTAACACAGCACGCTGCAGCGCCTATCGGAAGGCTGTACACCGCACGGGCCGTCTCTCGTCCAGCGTGATTTCACCTATGCAGAGACCTCGTATGAGTGTTAAGCAAACAGACACCCGATATGGCCTCGCCGTTTGTATCTCTGCCACCGCTGCTTTTCGGTGTAGTGTTCGACTCCAAGTGCGCGTCTCGCTCCGTTTCGAAGATAAGCGGGCATCTCTTGTGGTTGAGCGATTTTCTGGACACCGGATACTCGCGAGATGCCGGCGCCGCGCTTCCGCCCGGAAGTCGGCGTCACTCCGTCGCGATGACTCCTGCTCCTCCTCTCTACTTGCTCGAGTGACGTATGGCTTCCTGTCATTCTTCCTGGACTTTCACTCGGCGCGATTTTTCACGCGTCGCTATTGCTGTGCCTTCCGACAAATGTGGAGTTTCTTTTAGTTGCTCTATAGGCGAGACAGAACACGTGTAATAAATGATAAGGACTGACTAGTTGGTTGAGGTACCCGTTTTTGACAGACGCCATACCATATATTGACATCCATGTTTAATGCTATCTTTTTTTTTCCTGTGATCGTACACCCTCAAAGACTGTTAGCAATGCTCGACCCAGACCGCGCCGCAATGTTTGAGAAGCTTTTCGATTGTTCCAGATCATTCTGTCAAGATTACGCGCACCTCTCAAGTAGTTAGGGTATTTGAGACCTTGTACGCGAGCACCATCGATAAGGCTTGAATGTTCGATGCCACACGTGTGAATACCAATGCGCCTCGCCGCAAAGCAGATTAACTATGACGTATACGCTCTGTTCGCCGCTATCACTATACAGTGTGTATCTCTTGTAGTTTGGCCAAAAAACATGTTTGGCTTCTCGTTTACCGGATTCGATAAAAGACTGTTTTTTTTTTTCGTCTTGTATCCGCCGAGCTTCTGCCTTGTCCAACGTCAGCGACCACGTGACAGTATGACGTCATTCGACCTCGAGGACAAGGAAGGCACAGCAGTAAAAATTATGTCTTGAGTTCTAATGAAAGCATATATACTATAAGTTAAATAAAAGGTAATAGGTAGATTATCCTTCTAGTTCATTTTACAGATAAATGTGCTGTATCCGTAGTAAACGGGTTTACGCTTACTTGATGTAGTCAGCAGTAGAAACTATACTGTTTTAATGTGCGCACATTCGTCGACAGCTATACTCGCGAGAGCACTTAGCTGCAACCAGCATGTACTTATTAGGCTGCTGTCGAGCTTGGTAACGCCCGATGTGAGAACAGCGTAAATTCGAGATACGAGGACAATATACATTAACGCTCAACACAGGCGCCGTTTTGTGCGTTCATGCCTGTCGAGTCGGCGGTGTTTGTTATGTTCCGACCCGGCTCCCTTGCCAGGGCGCGTTGTGTCTCGAAGACGGATCACCATCGCCGCGTGTCGGGTTCTCTGTCACGGTCTTCTGCTTCGAGGGCCATTCACGGCGTGCCGATGCGATTTCGCGCCTTTTTGTCTCGCTTCCTTGTGTGCATTGTGTGGCTCGCTCTCTTCCGGGCCGTGCTCTGACGCACGTCGTGGCGTGGCCCACCCGCTTCATCGCATATATACGTTGGCCGAGTGGTTCGTTGCTTGGCGGGGGCCAACAACCTCAGCTACAAGCATTCACTTGGCATCAAGCCTTAATTTTTTTCCCCTCTGTATATGACATGTTCATCATCATCATCATCATCAGCCTGACTACGTCCACTGCAGGACAAAGGCCTCTCCCATGTTCCGCCAGTTAACCCGGTCCTGTGCTTGCTGCTGCCAATTTATACCCGCAAACTTCTTAATCTCATCTGCCCACCTAACCTTCTGTCTCCCCCTAACCCGCTTCCCTTCTCTGGGAATCCAGTCAGTTACCACATGTTAACGTTGTGTAAAACACGGAGACCTAAGGTATACTCGGCTGCTGACCCGCAGGTCGCGGGATCGAATCCCGGCTGCGGCGGCTGCATTTCCGATGGAGGCGGAAATGTTGTAAGTTCGTGTGCTCAGATTTAGGTGCGCGTTAAACAACCCCAGGTGGTCGAAATTTCCGGAGCCCTCCACTACGGCGTCTCTCCTAATCGTATGGTGGTTTTGGGACGTTAAACCCCACGTGTCGATCAATAAAACACGGAGACGCTGTTAGTCTACACGACGTTTTCAGTAAACTGAAACTAACCAACTTAGATACCTGATACCTACTCTTCTAAATCAGCATCGTATTTGTAGTTCTATGTGCCTTTATAGTATGAGCAGGACCTCGAGGACCATGTGGTCTACGACAGTTGTATCAAAAGAAAAAAACAATTTTTGATTACAATATTTTATGTGTCGTCAGCTATTGCTTATTGTACGATGTCATGTTTTTCTTTCTCATTGCACCCGCTTTCTATTGTATGATTTCTTTATATGTTAAACACCCTGCTGAACAGTGCTTGGGCGCTCGGGTCATTGTCAGGCAGTTAATCTGCCTTTAGCCGTACCATCCCTCGACATGTTGAAAATAAACAAAAACAATCAAACGGAGCTTTGGACTTACCCCGAAATCTCGTTGCGACCGAAAAGTGTCGAAGGTGCTCTGTCTTCTGTTGGCAGTAGAAGACTGAGGGGAAATGCGTTCTTGTATTGCACATGGTTTGGTCCGGTATTGCTAAGTGCCTGGATGGTGTAGGATGGTGTCGTATATTTCGATACGATGACAGTCATACGGAGTGAACCAGGCATGCATATCATCTCCGAGTCGCCAGTACGAGCAAATGTTATCGAGCCTGGCTGACCACCGGTCCTTGATCGTTGTACTGTCGTGCCATACCACCGCTCCCTTATATAGACATTTCCATAGACGGCTTTTTGGGTGCCGCCATAAACCTCTCTGGGGCTGCGCTAAATAGATGTAACCCCCGAAATTGCACTGCCCCGAGGTTGTGACGTCAGCTTCTGTGCTCCCGAGTGCAGCAGAGCATGCCGTTTTTTTTTTCGCCCTTGACTATAGATCTATAGATGTTCAGCTGAAAGAGAACTTTCCAGCGCACCTTTGACATCACTACCGCCACGCTTTCAATATTTGGAAACATCTTTTGGGGGCGAATAAAGAGCCATATCGGCTACATGATTCATGCCTGTGTACTTCCTAAATTTCGACCCGAGTGGTTATTTGCTGATCTTCATTGGTTGATGGCTCTGCTCTGTTATCTTGTATTTGCGTTATTAGTTGCTTATAGTGTCAGTAAGTTTCTAAGCTACGTATAATGTTATGCATTGCGTGAATAACATCTGTAGTCGGGCGCAACACGGGCTGGAACTTTGAAAATACCTTTTAAAGGTTATAGCGGCTAAACGCATTTGGCATGCGCAAAAGTTCACGACACTGTGCGCTCATGGGGAAATGCGTATTTTGCGATTCCACACCTCACATTCATATCGTTACATTACGGGCAACCGTTGAATAAACATGACTTTAATGTTCCAGCTCATATTGCTCCCGATAGTACATTATACCCTCCTGTAGTAGTGACCCCCTTGAATGTCGATTAAGGGACAAATCACATCGGGACAATGTCGCAGCCCCCTGCGAAACCGCCTCGCCGCTCGGTGGCCTGCTCTCCGGGCGTGTACGAGCAGCTGTGCCTGGCCACCACCGGAGGTCCGCAGAGGAGGAGGCGGCTGTCCTCCGGAGACTCGCGCTCATCCGCCGAGTACGTGGACATGCGGCCCAACGCATCTGCGGCCCAGCAGCAGCAACAGCAACAGCAGCAGCAGCAAGCGCAGCAGCAGCCTCCTCACCTGGACAATCACAGCGACGCCTCGTCCAGGCTGTGCGAGCTCAGCAGCCTCTACGACCAGGTATATGTGCTTTCTGTGTTACTCGCTGACGTCTCTGGACAGCTCACTTTATTAGAGAGCTTTAGTACTGCGTACGTGGCGGCGTTGCGTACGTAAGGACGCCACGTTCTGCGTAGTGCGCATGCGCAGACCGCAACGCGCACGTATCGCGTTACGTATGCAGCCGCTACGTACGCACGCATGAGATGCATGCGTGCGTACGTATGAGGTGATCGCACCGCTCTAGAACAAGTTCGCGACAGCGCGAGACTTCGTTTTGCAAAATGGCGACATCGAAGGCAAGCACCGACCAGCTCTGTGGCTTAAAATATGGCCATAATCTGGCTATAACACTTGGATTGGCTCACATTGGCTGTCAACAACACCTGATTCTATTTTGATCTACCAGATAGCGCAACACGCTTCATGCTCGTTACGTACGCGGGTACTACGGCGTACTAAAAGCCGATTAGTGGCAAACGACGCCACGTAACGCAAGGCGCTTGCGCGATGCGTACGTAACACCATTCCGCAGTACTAAAACTCTCTATTGTCAGCGTGCGCGCCGCTGGAAGACGAAGGTGTTGCGTTGCTATATGCTCCATCTCTCAAGCTCGTTGCAGCACTTGTGGGGCTGCTTCACCTGTACGAAAATCCGTCACAGTGTATTCGTCCGTGCCGCGTCGTCTGCACGGCATCCGCATAGCTTCTGCGATCACGCGCTGGCAAAATGAAGTGAACGCACAGCCACATGACGGTAATCAAAGTGACCAAAGCTTCATAGGCGTGACCAGACGCACGCGTTGAAGCGCGTCAGTGCGTGGCGGTAGACTTGACGCTGCGCCCTCTCCCTGTGGAGAGAGAGAGGGGGGGCCGCGAAGCTTCGTGCAGCCGCTCGCCCTCTCTCAGGATAGGGAAAGGGCGTGCAGCTTTGCGTGGCCGCTTACCCTCTGTCTTCGTAACGAGAGGACGCGGCGAGTCTAACAACGGAGTTGATCGTTCTGTTCGTTTTATGTGTCCTTTTGAAAGAGAGTATACCGGCATCCTGTCTGCATACTTGGGACACGTGCAGTTAATGTGCGAGTAAGCAACGCAAGAAAGTTCCTGTGGGACAACTGTCACATTGAACATTGAATAACGATAGCAACCATGCACAGCGGTTTTTTTTTTATGGGGGGAGGAGGGGGACGTGTTTGCGCGTACAAGAAAGCGCCATCTGCCCGAACCATTTGACCCGTAAAAGCGTTACCACTGGTGCGTGCAGCCTCGTCCAGGTAAATCTAGAGTCGTGAGTGTGGTGGGTTGATGTTTTATGCGATAGCGTTACGGTGCATGTCTGAAGCAAAGCCGCATGTGTAAATACTGGATGGACATTGGTGCATTGTTGGGTAGTACTTTTGAAAAAAAATCATTAGTCCAAGTTCAATTTCACAAAAGCTTCGTTAATTCGAGATAATGATAGCATTTAACCCAGGGCCGTAACTGTGGGGTAGCTAAGGGGGTTCTGACACCCTCAGAAATTAAAGAATTTACGCGACTTCCCATTGACTTTGACCTCCAGCCGCCAATTTAGTCGTTTGAAACATAACCCCCCCCCCCCCACGCACGCACTCACACACGCAAAAAAAAAAAAAGAAAATACTTGCTGTGGGTCTGGCTGAACGGTAAGGGATTATTTTTTCGTTCCATTGAAAGATTCTTAAAATCGTATTTCGTTAGATCCAGGTTCAAATGTATAGTTTTAAACTATGTAGTGTGCAGTTCTCGGCCAGTTTTCACAGATAAATAATGGAAAATTTCGATGCCCGCGGTTGTATAAAAGCTAGGTAATATGTAACGATGTCTCCGTTTACTCGTGATGCATCAGACAGCGTAGGTACAACCCAGCTTTTCTGTTTAGTACTGCTCCTTGGAAGTCTGCTTTTCAAATGAGATATGCCGCATTCCAGCAACAGTATACCTCGTTCATTTGTCTGGGAAAAAATCACAGCATATCCATGGAGTGAATGATTATGAGTGGGGCGAAGCGTCCATCGGTCCGTCCGTACTTCCCTCCGTTTGTTCGTTCTTGCTTCCTTCCGTCCGTCCGTACGTCCGTTCGTGCGTCCATTCGTGCGTCCATCCGTTTGTGTGGCCGTCTGTCCGTACGTCCGTCCATTCACCTAGTTAACACTCCAATCTCGCATATTTTCATCATATATTCATCATATACAAGTACCGCCATCCAGTAGACATTCCAATGACTAAACGAGAGGTGACTACCTACTACTACTACTACTACTACTACGACTACTACTACTACTACTACATACATACATACATACATACGGGACGCACGGTCCACGGCTAGGGAGCTTCGCTCCCTAAAAAGAGAACCGTGGCACGAGCGTGTTATCCGGAAAAAGCCTACAATCCGATTAATAATATATATGCGCTGCTTTACGTCCCAAAAACCACGACGTTATTACGAGGGTATAGGAGGGCTTCGGAAGTTTTGATCATCTGGTGTACGTGCACTGAGATCGCGCAGTACAGGGTCTCCACCAATTAGGCTCCACCGAAATGGGACCGTCGCGGCCGAAATAGATCCTGTGACCTTCGGGTGACCAGCCGAGTGGCACCATAGCCACTGATCCACCGGGGCGTACACATACAATTCGAGTTCACTAAAACATCGTGCGGCTTCGCTTCATAACGGTATAACGCAAACATTGGCAGGCACCCGTAAATCGTACTAAATGGGAACGTATCATGCGAGATTCTACTGTATGCGTACGAAGTGTTTAAGCTAACATGCGTCAAGTATTTTAAAAAAAATACAGACACGCGCTACGCGTGTCGATCAAGTCTAGTATTGTTCTGAGCCATGTGAAGCACGTCATGATATTTTTTTTTCAGTTCGTCGAGTTGACTGATAAATACAGATTGCGTAGCTAACATCTAAAATGGTAACTACAGCGAAAAATTTCAAATGCAAAAGTTCTGGCGCTTGTTCAGAAACGTTAGGTCATTTCATCTCAGCTATGATAGCTCCTATTCCGCTATGCTACTTACGTAATTAACTAAGATTGCATAATTGATTCTCAAAGTGATTGTGGGAGCACAGTTTTGGTGTAAACCAGTTTCGGTTTCGCCGTCGACGTCTGGCGACCACGAGCGACCCTGGTATGCCGCCGGATGGCGCGGCTAACATAAACGGCGTCTTGGGTTACACCCGGGGTCAGGAGACGCCACCACGCCACCAGACGCTTCCGAAGGACGAGACACGCTCGTGGGGTCCCGCGTCACTAGTTTTGTATATAAATCAGTAATTAGTGCAATGTAGACGCGATTCGTTCCTCTACATGGTAACTCTAGCGAAATATCTTCTATTTAAACCTGGTGGTGTTACCTGGTCACATTCGACCACTCCCCCTTAATGATTATGTTTCTATTCTTGTTGAAAATGATTATGTACCAAAGCTTAATTCTTTTAATGTTATAAATGTTTTTTATTGTTATTTTGTTGCTACTTCTTATGTACCTTTTTTCTCTTGCGATTTTTTTTTTGCACTGTATAACCTTACTCCTCCGATAGCCCTCTTACAGGGCTGCAGTTTATAAAATAAATAAACAAACGTTGTAGTGCATGTTAAGAAAGATCGGGTCACTTCGTGTTTGTTCGCCTCGGTGGATCAGTGCGTATGGTGCTCGGCTGTTCAACCCCGAGAATCGCAGGTTTGATCGCGTCCGTGGCGGCCGCATTTTGATGCAGGCGAAATGTTATAGAGGCACGTGCGCCGTGCAATGCCAGCGCGCTTCAAAGAACCTGCACTGACGGTTGGAATCTCCGGAGCCTTCCACCTACGGCTTCTCTCAAATCGTGGGACGTGAAACCCCCCCCGTGTGCGCCAACGTAACCGTCCCGTTAAAATTTTTGCCCAGCCTTTCTTCAAAGCATACGCGAGATTTAAGAACATCACAGGGCACCTCCTTTCCAGACTCGACAACGCACGGGCGATATTAGACGCCTCGAGCTTGCCTCTATTACACTCTGAGGGCAGGCGCTCTTGATCGTGACAGCTCAGCCAAGTGAAACAGCTTCTTGATATCGGAGAAGAGGCGCGTCGCCGACTCATCGTATGCATGCACGAGCAGTGATCGGGTCGTATCTCCGTTGTGACTCAAGCGAGGGGCTGACGACGACAGCACCCGTGAATCGAGCTCATTAGGTGTTATGTAGGGAATGGTGGGCGATTGGCTTTGTGGCAATCAGTTTATTGCGAAGGCGCCGTGCAAATTTTGTGGATGTAGTCGGATATGTGGTCGGCATGTGCGTTGCAGCTTACAGTAATGAACGAAAAATAAGACAGCTTCCCGCTAAATGCTGCCAAGTTAGGAAGAATTGCGCGGGGCTTGGCTTGGCCTTTTTTGTTTCTCTTTGGTTTTCCCTTTATTTATTTCCCCCTTTTTTTCTTTTACCAATTTCCAGTTTTTTTCTCTTTTTTTTTCTTCATTTCTTTATTTTCGTTTATTCTAATTTTTTCTTCCTTTCTTTTATCGCTCTTTATATTTGTCGCTTGCTCCCTCATTTTCTATATCTACGTGTGGTTTTGCCTGCGCTACATACGCTAAGCGACTACCCCACGCATGTGTACCACACGTAAAATGGACGAGATGACGTTGCATTTCAGGAATTATTCTTGCCCAGCAGCTATACACATTACTGTGTGCCTTTTTCGAATCAGCCACGTCCGGTGTGTCCCGCTTTCCTGCCTCCGGGCGCGCTTTCTTAACGTTTCTGAAAGAAAATAGTGGAGCATTATATTAACGGTGAGGCCCAGTTAAAGTAGTGGAGCATATAAATAAGCTTTTTTTTTCTCTCTCTCTCTCTCTCAGGTACAAATTTTTAGAAGCGCGTTTAAAGCGAAAGGCTTTCTTTTTTGATGGCATCTTTAGTTGTTCGTCTCTATACACTCTGAAAAGTTTTCCGGAGGAACTGTTCAGTTTAACCGAAAGAAGCGCTTAGCTCCTCCGAAGGT